TCTCTTAACAAAATTTTATTTCATTTTACACTGTGTTTCATTAAGAATCATCAGAAATTTGCACTGTTCTTTTAAGAACATTGAGCACTCTATTTTGTAGAATACATTTTTTAAATTGTTTAAATATATATATATATATATATATATATATATATATATATATATATATATATATATATATATATATATATATATATATATATATATATATATATATATATATATATATATATAATATAAACACTTATCTATTTTTTTGATAAACCTTCTGAAGGAGTTGAACAGACTGTCTAAGAGTGCTCAATATTCTTAAAGAAGAGAGCATAGTATTGTTATATGTTAGTAACATAATATTTTTATATGTTAGTAACATAATATTGTTATATGTTGGTAACATATATATATATATATATATATATATATATATATATATATATATATATATATATATATATATATATATATATATATATATATATATATATATATATATATATATATATATATATATATACATTAGGGCCTTGCAAATTGACATTTTTTGTTTCAAATTGAATCTCAAAGCAGTTCTTGATCCGCGAATCGAATCATGAATCGAATCAGCTATTCGTGAAAACCAAGTTTAAGTTTGTTTTTTTTTCCAAAAAGATAAAAATATTTTTTTGAACAAATTCTTTTTGCTCTGATTATATTTTTGGCGTTTGTTTTAAAGTGATGTTAGAACTATTTTCAATTACTTTTTCTTCCCCCGGTTTGAAAAACCCATTTCAATTACATTTTAGCTTTAGAAATCTAAAAAAACCAGCAATATTCGCAAAATAATTCGCAAAAATATGATTTGAAAAAACTTGAATTTTTTTTTTTCGACTCGAATCGAAGCGACACTTGATTCACGAATCGAAGCAATTCACAAGACCCTAATATATATATATATATATATATATATATATATATATATATATATATATATATATATATATATATATATACGCATACATACATTATATATTTATGCACACTTATCTATGATCAAAATTTTGAATGTTATTATTCCAGGCTTTTGATTTAGTCAATAACCTCAAATAAATCAACTGTATTGCCTGCATCAAAGCAATACCATTAGTTTTGTTTTTGATTTTATCGATTGAATGCTATCATTTTGATTCTATCGATTGAATCATCAGTCTGGTTTTGTACATATTGATTCAAAATTAATAAATTATGATAAAAATTGATTTAAAACAAACAAATATTATAGTATATATTTTTTTAGTATTCCAACCATATTCGCGTTTCAACAAAGAAACTTGCCTGTTGTAAAGAAGGGAAAAGTAAACTAAAGCAGAAAGACTTTTTCTTGGAACTCGATATAAATATTTTTTGTGTTTCGTGTTTAAATTTTTTTTTTTAATGTTTTCAGCTTGAGATTGTTAAAATCAATATGAGTATATTTAAAATATTTTTTACTTAAAGATTGAAAGAATGAAAAATGTTTTTAATGCATAAAAGATATTTATATTTTCATTTGAATTATATTTTGGTCTTTTATTTTGTGTTGATTGATATTTATTTGATGCATAAAATAAATTTACATTTTTTAAATTATACTAATGTTGCTTTTTTTTCTGTTTGTCTCTATTGCATTACGAATATTACACACTTTATATAGCTTTATATCTAAAAATTAAATAATTTATCAAAGTTATGCTTTAAGTTCAAAACTTGTTTGTGTTTTTATTTATATATAAATAAATATAAATAAAAATATATATATATATATATATATATATTTTATATATATATATATATATATAAATATATATATATATATATATATATATATATATATATATATATATATATATATATATATATATATATATATATATATATATATATATACACATCAGAAAGGAGTATCGTAGCAACAGGTTACAAAAAGTTAACGATTAAGATTTTATTTTAACCCTGCAAAAAAAATTGAATTCTCATAAAAGCAAAAAATGCAAAAAAGATAAAAGGTTCATCTTGCTGAATAAATAAAAATTTAAAAATTTCTACGCTCAAAATTTTTTTAAAAAAGGTTTAAAGATTATAAACAAAAACAGTAAAAGTAGCTTTAGCTGAAAGTAGATTTTATTCACATTCAGAGGACTTGTATTTTATTTAAAACATTTCTTAGTAAAGCTGCAAGTTATTTTCACAATAATTTTATTTTAAAAATAGTTAAAAGCCTATTAAATTATCTAAAATTAAACAAGTTACTCGTTGTCAATGATAAGTTTTTAAAAACGTTACATCCGTAGCCATTTTTAAAATTCTAAATTATTTTTAACTCTACTGCGCTTGCGTATAATAACTTTCCACTTATTTCTAAAGTCTAAACGACCGTGCAAGCCATTAGTTTGCAAATTCAAGCATACAACTTGAATGGAAATAAAAAATTACGCTTTTTTTTTAAATTGATATCAAGTTTTGAGAAATTTAAAGAACTTTTAGTTTATGTTAAATTAGTTTAAATGAACTAAAATTTTATACAAATAATTTCAACTTAAGCTGAAAACCACTACCCGAGCACGCGGGTACCGTCCCGTTGCTTACTGTCTGGGAAGTATTAGAGGAGACCGGGACTATTTGCAACAAAATTTAAAAAACAGCATTTATGTCCAAAATTTGTTTTGAGTAGTAATTTTACTTTGTTTTTTTTTTATTTTAGTTTTTATCTGAATTATAAATTAGATCTTACTGACGCATTAAATCAACATTAATAAAAATACTATAAAACTTAGTTGATAATTTTGTTTCGCAATATTTTGTTTCGCAATAGTGAAACAAAAAGTAAAAAAAAATTCAACTTAACCCGCACCGGGGCAAGTTGCAACACAATACTTTAAATGTATAAGCTTCGCAGAGTCTAAAGAAAAATTACAAGTTTATCTGTAACTTCTATTTGGCAACAAAAACTTTATAATTTTATTATATTATATTATAAAGGAAAGTAGTATTTTGGTGCAAAACCTTTATTATGAGAGAATTCTTACGTGATTGCTTTAGTAAACTGATAGGTATGAGAGAATTCTTACTTGATTGCTTTAGTAAACTGATAGGTATGAGAAAATTCTTACGTGATTGCTTTAGTAAACTGATAGGTATAATCAAATGACTTCAAAGACTAAAGAAACTAAATAAAAAGGATTATAATATAAACTAATTTATTATTTTTAACTCCTAAGTATTTCTGAAAAAAAAGTTATTTCTTAGTCAATAAACATTAAAATAGTTTAGAAAAAAGCAAGGAAAGTTTTTAGGATATTTGAGCTGTTTTTAAAATATAAAAACATAATAAATTTCATTTAAGAGAAACGCTGCGCTTCAGAAGTACAAGCTAAGGGTTCAAATTCCATCGCTTCAACATTATTCTTTTAAAACCTTTTTAAATAGGTCTTAATGAGCTACGGATGGTGTGGAAAAAAATTTTTAAAAACATTATAGAAACTTAATAAAGAAAAAAATATAAATAGGGGAAAGCGAGGCAACATGGCAAATGAGGCAAGATAGGTTTTCATATAACAACTCAACAAAAAATCTTAAAATTGGGTGAAAACAAAACTGTATTTGCATCTTGTATTTTAAAACACTAATTGGCTTTTTGAAATGTTATTAACGCAATTTTATACACATAAGTTTACTTTTAGCACCTAAAAAAAAAATCCTCACTTTCGGTTTCTCATAATGGATGGTGCCCTTCAGGTTTAACTTCTTTAGTAGTTAAAGTAGTTTTTTGCAATTTGTGTTTATTTTTTGTTACTTTAGTTAGAGTTATTGGTAGTTTTAAAAATTTTATAAAATTGGAGGTAAAAATTGCATAATAAGTCATCTTGCCCCGGTCACGTGACCAGATGACAAATTTATGAACTTTTTATTTTAATATTTGCTTCAAATTGTTATACTTGCAAACTGAAAATTCATGCAGGCAATGAAAGAATTTAATAACATGAACATACTGAGAAAGTATTATGGCTTCACGACTTATAGTTTTGCAACAACTCAGGGCTTTCAAATCGTTCGTCATGTTGCCCCGCTTTCCCCTAAGTCTCTACCCGTTGTTTACCCTTTACGCAAAACAAAGATTTAATAGGTTTTTGTTTTCTAACACTTTTTTAAAAAGTTAAAAGTCTATGTAAAGAAAAAGTATAGAAACGGTCGGTGTGGAATAGAACTATGACCTGTATTATACGGGTTTTTGATTGATTATTCCAGCTATTTTTAAGTTTAATTCCAAAGGTTTTTTAAACATTTTATGTCGATTTTAATTAATCAACACATCTTAAGCTGAAAATTATTTTGAATACCCGCTTTGGTTACTAATATCTAAACGCTGATAAAAAGCTGTTTGCGCAACGACTAGTAAAGCGTTTTTTATAGTTACTTATGTTATAAATAATTTTTTATTCATAACGTTAAAAGGTAGAGAATATGCACAGTTTTTCTACCGCTTACTCAAAAATATAGAAGTAACCCAGTAAACAAAGATTGGTTCAGAATCGGTCAATATTTAGTCAAAATCGGTCGAAAAATGGATGAAACCAAGGAGCTATAATAGCGTAGCTGGAGGGAGAACAAAGTTAAAATAATTCACTTCTCAAAGAACAGTCTTAAGGTGAGTTTCCATTCATCCGTTTTTTTACGGGAACGGAAAAGGGAAGGGAAAAATAATTACGTAGGCATGCATATTATAAGTTTTAATTTGTCCGAAGTAAAACTACGCATGCTCACTTGATTATTTTTCCCGTTCCCGTAAAAAAACGGATGAGTGGAAACTCACCTTTAGTAGTAACATAATTTTCGATTAAACACCGTGGAATTATCATAATTAAAAGTTAACCAATCACATTCCATTTTTAACAATAGCTATCCAATGATGTTGTTTCAAAACGTCATTAGCAATTAAAGCATTGCAAATAAAATAATAGAAGTTTAAAAAATTCGTAAACAATATTTGAAGTCAGTTAGTTGTTATTTTTTGTTGTGCTTTTTGAACAACATATAATAAATTTCTAGATTAGAATTGAGTTAATAAATGTCTAAATAAGAATTGGTTGTATTTTTGCCATGTATTTTATATCTCTTTATATTTTTGCCATATATTTTATATCTATATTTTTGCCATGTATTTTATATTCTTGCGCATGGTTGAAGTGATCGGACGTGTTTTTGCAGCGTGGAATTATTTGTTATTTTGATTCTTTTTATTTTTATTTTTTTTATTTTATTTTTTTTTAACAAACTACTACTAATAATAAATTTTTGATATGGATACTAAAAGTATTGAAGTACTTGTTGCTGGTTTACTTGAGAAACATAAAAATTCCAACTTAGATGAAACAAAAAAACTTTTAAAAAAACAAGAAAAGAGTTTTGCATCCTTAACAGCTGCAAACTTTAAAATGTTCACAGAAAGGCTGAATGAATATGAAAAAGATAATATAAATAATCTTCAAAAGATTAGCAAAATTGAAAATGATTTAGAAATAACAACTAAAAAAGTAATCTCTCTTGAGGCTGACTTTACGGAATTAAAGAAATACATAACGACCAGTGATCAAATTGCTACTGAGAAATTCGAGGTAGTAAAAAAGAAAACTAAAGAAATAAATAGTAAATTAAGGGATAAAAGTGAGTTATTAAAGGTAAAAAGCAAACTAAGAGAAATTGAAGATAGATCGAGAAGGAATAACCTGAGAATCGACGGTTTAAAAGAAAATGATAATGAAAGTTGGAGCAATAGTGAAGAAAAAGTGTTGAAGCTATTTGAAGAATCACTTGGACTGAAAGAAATTAAAATTGAAAGGGCTCACAGAACTGGAATCAGAGACGGCAAAAAAGTAAGATCTATAGTACTAAAATTACTAAATTATAAAGATAAAGAAAGAATCCTAAAAAATTCTTCAAAATTAAAAGGCAAAAACATATATATAAATGAGGATTATTGTGCGGAGACGGTACAAATAAGAAAAGAATTACGGATGGAAATGAAAAAAGCTCGAGAAGGTGGGAAATTCGCGTTTATATCATACGACAAGTTGATTGTACGAGAATGGTCTCCAAAAGAAAAGTAAATATTTTATGTTTCTTCTAGCTTAACGGTACCTTTTATTTTTCCTTTTTCTTTATATATATGATTTAGATTGTTATTATATTCTACTTTTTTAAAAATGGATGATAATCTTTTATTAAATTTGAATACTGAGAGTGATGACTATTTCAATAAAAAAAAACTTTGAAAGTGAGTATTATTCAATCCGTGAAGCTACTCATTTTTTGTGTCAAAAAAATAAAATAAATAGTTTTTGAATTTTAAATTTAAACATTCGAAGTATCAATAAAAATTTTGATAATCTAAAATTATTATTGCATGATCTAAATCATGATTTTCAAATAATTACTCTCACAGAAACGTGGTTGAAAAGCAATGAAAAAAACTATAATTATGAGCTAAGTAATTACGTGTCAGTCCACCAACCGCGTCAAAACCACGTTGTCGGTGGTGGTTTAAGTATCTTTGTTCACAAATCTATTAACTTTGAATTGCGTAACGACCTCAGCGTTAACGAAACAGATTGTGAGTCGTTACGCATTGAAATAAATAATAAAGCGACCAAAAATATAATTATTAGTTCTATTTATAGAAAGCCATCTGGCAATTTAAAAAAGTTTCATACCTATCTAAAAACGTTTTTTTAGCAAAATTAACAAATTTAACAAAATTTTTAAGCAAAATTAACAAAATTAACAAAAATTACAAAGAAACACGTGTACTTAACTGGTGATTATAATTTAAACTTGTTAAATCATGCTTCAAATCTAAATGTTCAATGCTTTTTAGATACACTTATACAATACGATATCATTCCCACTATAAATAAGTCGACGAGAATAACTAAGACTTCGTCGACCTTACTAGATAACATATTTACTAATAATTTTCATAATTGCCCTTTAGAATCGGGTATAATTAAAACTGACATAACAGATCATTACCCAATATTCTTAACTACAGATAATATAACCCTTAATCATTCTGTCTCTAAATCAACAATATCAATGCGACAAATCAATAAAAACTCCATAATATATTTTCGAAATCTTCTATCTGAAAAAACTAATTGGGATCTTATATTACAATCGCAAGATGTGAATAATGCGTATGAATTATTTTTGGCGCAGTTTTGTAAATACTATGATTTGGCATTTCCAGTTATAAAAAAAATTATAAATCCTAAATCACTTTTAAACCCTTGGATGACCAAAGGTTTACTCAAATCATCAAAGAGGAAACAAAACCTTTATGAAAAATATTTAAAACATAAAACATATAAAATTGAAACAAAATATAAAAATTATAAAAACTTGTTTGAAAAAATAAAGAAACAATCTAAAAAAAATTATTATGCAAAATTGCTAGAAAAAACACATGGAAACACACAAAAGACGTGGAATGTAATTAAGCAGATAATCGGTACAAATAAATGTCAAAATAATAAATTGCCAGAAAAACTTTTAGTTGACGGGGATATAATTTATAATAAAGAAGTCATAATTAACAAGCTCAACAATTTTTTTTTTGATATTGGACCAAAATTAGCTAATAAAATTCTAAAAACCAACTCAAACAACTTCGAATCTTATATAAATACACCCAACACATCTATGATAGAATCTAATTTAAACTTAAGTGAGATGCGCAATGCTTTCAACTGTCTAAAAAATAATAAATGTGCGGGCATTGATAAAATTAGCGTAAATGTAGTTAAAGCTGTGTTTGATATTATTGAACCATCACTGTTTCACATTTTTAATCTTTCTTCAAAATCCGGTATTGTACCGGAGAAATTAAAAATTGCTAAGATTATACCCATTTTTAAAAATGGCGATGATACAAATATGTCCAATTATAGACCTATTTCTGTCTTACCATGTTTCTCTAAATTGTTAGAACGAATTATGTATGATAGACTTAACAACTATTTAACTGAGAACAATATTCTGTATAATAAACAATTTGGGTTTAAAAAAAATCATTCAACGGACCATGCAGTAGTCGATCTAATAAATTATGTATCCAATGGGTTCAATAATGATTGCTATACATTAGGAGTTTTTATTGATTTGTCAAAAGCATTTGACACTGTTAATCATGATATTCTAATAAAAAAACTAGAAATGTATGGAGTATTAAACAATAACTTACAATGGTTTAAAAGTTACCTTTCAAACAGGAAACAATACATAATATATACAGAAAATGAAGAAAAAAAACATATCATAACTTGTGGTGTTCCCCAGGGATCAATCTTAGGGCCCTTATTATTCATACTGTTCATTAATGATTTGTATTTAGCATCCAAAATTCTAAACGTTATTTTGTTTGCTGATGACTCAAATCTTTTTTACTCTAACAGAAATATTAAAGATCTGTTTAGAATTTTTAATGAAGAGTTATTAAAAATAAAGAAATGGATTACGAATAATAAACTTTCATTAAATGTTGGGAAAACTAAATTTATGTTGTTCCACAAACCTAGTAAAGGTGATAACCTTTTTTTAAAACTACCTGATCTCTTTATGAACAAAAAAGTTATTAAAAGAGAGTCAACTATTAACTTTCTAGGAGTGATATTAGATGAAAATATATCATGGAAATATCATATTAGATCTATTGAAAATAAAATCTCCAAAAATATTTCAATGCTATATAAAGTTAAACCTTTTCTTAATACGGAATCTTTAAAAATTATATATTTCTCATTTATTCATAGTTATCTTTCCTATTGTAATCTTGCATGGGCAAGTACCAATTATGGGAAGCTCAAAAAAATTTATAGCAAACAAAAACATGCTTGTAGGATTATCTTTGGCGTTAACAGAACTGTTAATGGTGAATCTCTTTTAAAGAAACTTAATGTACCTAATATTTACAAATTTAATATATACCAAGTTATGCTATTTACGTTTAAAACAAAACATGCGTTATCTCCTAATATATTTCAGTCTTACTTTACCGAAATATCTCATAAATATCCCACTAAATTTTCATCTGATAATTTTGTTATTCCAAGATCTTATTTAAAACTCAATTCATTTCAAATTCAATACCGGGGACCATTTATATGGAAAGGTTTTTTAAAAAATATAATTAAAAATAAAATTCTTCGAGGCATCTCCTTAGAACAATTCAAAAGAGAATCTAAACGTTTTCTATTAGAAAAAACTTTCGATTTTAAAGATTTCTTCTAAAATCACCTAAAATAATTAAACCTGAAAAAGTCATCACTACTCATTTACTATTGTCTTGTGTATCTTGTTTATTTCTTATTAAAATAAAAAATATATATACTATTAATTTTGAGCAGACTAATAACATTTATTCGATTTATTACTTGTGTCTTATATTTGTCGAACTAATATTGTATTGTACTTCAATTTTTAACCTTTTAGTTTTTAACTTGTAACTTTGTGACGTTAATGTAAACGGGGCTTGGCGATAAGACAGTTTATGTCTTCTTCTTGCTCCGGCCAATTTTTATACATGAATGGTTTTTTCTCATTGTAAATTTAATTATACGGCAAAGAAAATATAATAATATAATAATAATAATAATATTTACAATAAAGCAATTTGCTTTTAAATCAAGGAAAAATACTCCAACACAAAATAAAATCCTGGCGGGATTTGATAAGTTCCTGGCCGAAAGAACAGCCTTAAAGAACGTAACTAACCTATAGCTGAACAGGCAAGCAAATAATATGGTTCAAATAGGTAGTAGAGATATAACTTTGATATTTATACCTATAACTGAGGTTCTCAAAAAACAACTACTTCACCTTAATCGTGATTTTTGTTTTCAAACTTCTTGATTGCTCGAATAGTTAAACATATCCAACAAACTTATATTTTATTAATCCATTTCGATTACAACTCTCAAAGCTTACTGATTAGATTTCAAAATTTTTCTTTTTTTGCAAAAACGCCATTTTGACTTTTTACTGGAATAATTGAACTACAAAGACTCTAACGCGATTTAAATCCATTTTTGGCTTTGTTCTCCCTCCAACTAAGCTATTGAACCTCCTTGATAAAACGTTTAGCGACCTATTATTGACTAAAAATCGACGCTTGATTTGAAATGTATATTACAAACTTTTTTAAATATACGTTTACTAAACGTCAACCTAACGTTTAAAATATCGACTTACATTAGTCAATATTGTAAACTTTTAATCGACCTTAATTAAACGCAAACATTTATAGATTTAAAATCTACGCTTCAAGTCTTTTAATTTATAAGTTTATTAAACGTCGATAAAATGTTACAATATAATCGCTTTGATCGACGTTTAATAAACGTTTAATATATTATAATATAGCCGTTATAGTAATATAACCGTCGGTCAGAAGACTCGCGTAACAGCTTAAGTCACGCATTAATTCACTTAAAAGGTCAAGTCACGCGGTTTAAATAGGCATAATTTAACGAAATAAATAACTTATTACAAAATTATTGTTTATTAGCTAAATAATTAAATTAGACTTAAATGCGTTTTCAACATTCACTTCCTTACAACAAATGAAAGCAAAACGACTGAAATAATAAACAAGTGTCAGGTGCGCCATTTTAATCAATGAAAGTTAAAAGGATCTTATCGTGACAATCTACCTTTCTAAATGCCAAAAAATCAATGGACTCCAATTTTTTTAGAAGTTATTGATGGCCACAATGACATAGTTAAAAAATATGAGTTGCTGGTCTCTCGTTATGAGGGTCCTGCTGCAAGAACTTTTTTTATAAGTTTTATAAACAGTTTAAATTCATTTAGTAAACGCTAGTATGATTGTGTAATAGTTGGTATTCATCTTTGCAATAATCAAGAGATTTAATATCTAAATATTTCTTTTTTAATTTTAAATGCATTTTAGCTTCATTTAGTTACATTTACTAAAGAAAATTGGTGCAACAGAGCTGGTAAAAATCACTGCATGTGTTATGTCGCAACTTTACTAACTTTTTAATGTCAAAAATAAAAATGAATGGTACAGGAAATTTTGGAAACATCCATTCAGAAAATCTATATGTAAAGTTGTTCTGCGTAATTTCAATTTTGATTTATAAATATACATTAAAAATGCTAATTATTTTACACTCGTTTTTCGCGGTTACAAACCAGGTCTCAAAATCAGACGATCAAGATACGAATGTAGAAGATGATGTTGCACAAACAGGTGAATGATGAAAAAGCGGTAGGCCGTCTAGGAAGATCTTCGATAATGCACAAACCAGAAAAAACAGTGATCCAAAATAATTATTTTTGAGTTTATTTATTTTTTTAGTAATTTTTGACTTAATCTTAATGTAAACTTTTATTTTCTGCTTATGAGATTAAATTAAAAAAATACTTGATAAAATTTCCACTGCAAAAAGCTTGAACATTTAATTTTTTTTTAATTATCAAATCATAAACAAGTATAGAGCACAATCATTTTTTCTCTAAACCCCTACTATATGAAAACGTTTTATGTAAGTTTATAACTTCATATAAAGTTTTATTAAATAAAAGTATAGTATAAGTAGTATTGTATAAAAGTTTATAAACATATTATAATAGTTATAAAAAATATAAAAAATAAGACCAGGTCTTTTATAACTGTATTTTATTTATAAATTTCATATTTATAAGTTTCAAGACCTATGTAGCTCTTATTACTAATATAAAGTTAAAAAGTTAAAACGTAATTTCAATTTATATTAGCTTTAAAACTTAAATAAATTGAAATTACGTTAATTAAATCAAATTTAGAAGCTATTAGAGAAGATCTAAAGCTTTAATATACGCTTACTTAGAGTAAATCTGAACGCTTTGTATACGTTAATTAGACTAGATTTAAACGTAATTTAGGCAATATCTAAACTCTTTATATGTGTATATTAATCCTATAATAGACGCCTTAAATACGTTTGAATATAGACGTTTATAAACGTTTGTTTTTAAAGTTAATCTGGATTTCATTCTAAACGGATAATCAACCATATCTGAACGTTTTGCTGAAATGTTGTTTTGGCGTTTAAAAGACTTTTGTGTGTTTACTGGGAAGGTATAAGTATAGAAATTTTTGGTGTATAATAGACTCATCAAGACTCTTATTTTACGGGTCCGGACATCTAGTTAATAGTAACACAACCTTTAAACAATATTAATTTGGTTAGTTTGCAAAGTAAAAGAAGATCGTGAAGATCTTACTATAAAATTTTTAATAGCTACAATTTCTTTATCCCCATCACAAAGTCTGAAAAGAACAAATGCTTGTTATTTCATTATACTTCTTTATTATACTCCATAATTATATTAAAAAATAAAACTGTTATATGCGTGCTTTTTTATTTATTTTAGATAAATTCTATTTAATTTATATAAGTTAAAAAGGAAAACTATAAATGACATCATCAAATGTATTGTTTTTATTGACTGTTTATAGGTACAACCTTTATTAAAAATATTGCTTTTTTAACGGGTACTCGTATTATTATAACATTTACAATTTTTTCATACCTGTTTTTATGAAATTAAAATTAGTCAGTTTTAAAACTTTTTCTGAGTAAGGATTAACTCTACCAATTCTAAGTGCAGAGTTGATGTTCTTCTTGATTAACTTCTCGATTGATAACCAAAACATTCGATGACTATAATATACAATAATATGTTGATCTTAAGTTTATTATTATGTATCAAAAGCACATAAGTAATAAGTTATTGTTTATATAAGTAGACAGTGACATGCTGACCATTCGCTGAGGGGTTCAGAAAATATCGAGGACTACTAATAGAGAGGAAAGGCAAAGAGGCTATTGCCCTCTTAATTATTCCTCCTCCACCTCCTCCCACCCAAATATAATTGGAAAGTATTTTTTTTGTAATTATTATTTGTCAATTGTTTGACTAAAACTAGAGAGTTTAGGTGTTTGATAAAAAGATACTGCAAATAAAGCCTGTGGCAGCACTAATCCCTAGATAAAAATTCAGTTTTATAACTTAAATTTGTAGGAATTTCTACCAGTGTTAATTAAATTTTGTTAGTTTTTTGATACTTATACCTCAAAACGCTTACGATTACTGTGATTTTCGGTCACTGTTTTTAAAATAATGAAGTCTAAAAAACAAATATTACACATTTAGAAATGTTACATTAGTGTTCTACTATGAAATACTAACAACTTTTATTATACCTATTTTATTCTCAACAAACACTACGTCATCTAGAAGTAGGTCTAGAGTAAACATAGACGTCAAAAAAGACGTCAAAAGTCAGCCGACAAATAATTAGTCGAAACTGGTCAAAAAATGAATGAAATGTTAAGCGAACAATTATTAACCAAAAATTGACCGTTGATTTGTATTAACATTTAAAGTTTTTTAATGTATACGTTAACTAAGCGTTGGTTAAATGTTGGTAGATTGACTAATATAAGCCACTATTCTAAATGTTTAGTAAACGTTTAATAAACGTATACATTAAGGTAATCAAAGCGTACATTACAAATCTATTAACTAAACGATTTAAACTTTTTTCAATTTTTGTAAACGCCTAATTGACTTTTAATAAACCTACACATTAAATAGATTGAATAGTGCATTCAAATCTTTTAATGTTGCGTTCATTAAGTAATGTTTAATCGTTTTTACTATTTTTTTTTGCAAAAGTCAATATTGTAAATCTTTATTTGACGCTTATCAAACACATTAAAATTAAAAGAATTGAAGTGTATGCAAATTTTACATAAAGCATTTTAAAAATTTAAAAATATTATATCTTTTCTTTTTCCAAAAAACATGTTTTCTAATCATATTTTTATTTATTTGTTGCATCACATGTAATCTTGTGGTACATTTTAGTCTGAATTACTGAAAAATAATGAAGCATAAATTGGTATTAATTATACATTTCACAATTGACTCAATAATTTTTAAACATTGCTACAAATAAACTATTTTTTTAAATCCGTAAAATACAGGTCTTGGTAAGACTACTTTAAATCTAAAATTTTTTAAAGTTATGTTATATAAATACAGAAATGGTCGGTGTATACACCGACCTTTTCTATACTTATTTAATATAAAAATCTGTCAACTCTTTGTTTTCAATAGTTAATGTTTAATACTTTAAAACTTCTTATTATAAAATTGTAAACTTCAATAAAAAAAAACGTCCAAGGACTTATAGATTTTTTTCTTTATTAAGTTTTAATCTTTTTTCCGGATTATCCCGTTATTTAATTTTCAAAAAAATATAAGTTTGAACATTAAATCTTTTTTCTTATAAAAAAATAAAATTTGTCTCTGTAATGTGTGATGAACGCATAGAAATAACTAATGCACAAAAAATCTCTTCAGCTGTTTTGATGTTTATTGCAATTTTATGCTTTTTAAAAACTCTATAGTAGTAGGATAAACAGATGGTGATGTGACCAAGGGGTAAAGTGAACTTGTTTTTTTAATGACTTTTAAAATATAACTTTTAAAAAACTTTTCCTTTAGTAATTTAGCATTATTTTTGGATAATACAATATTTTAAAACTTTTCAAAAAAAAAATTAATCAAAATATAGCCTTTGTTTTGGTGTAATAGCTATTTTAAAAAACGATTTTGGTGGAAGTTATAAAATAACGTTATTAAAACTCTGCAATAGCTTTTAGCAAATTTAAGATATGTAGTTATTAATGCAAATACCATTTATATTGTTAATATACATTTTGTAGATAATGAGCACCCTTGTGCAGTCGTAGCACACTTGCCTCAGAAACAAAGTATCCATGGTTTAAACCTCGCCACTGGGCAAGTTTTGCGGCATTGGTTAGGAAGGATGAGGATTTAATCGGAAGACTTCTGATTAAATCCTCATCCGCGGTGCTCTGTGATAAGACTGTAAGGACTTCTTGGGGCACCTAAATAAAATTAAAAAAATAATAATATAATATTGTTTTACAAAAATTCTAGTTTTTATTATAATAAAAAAGTTTTTCTTTGTACTAAGTTTTGAGTTTGTAAATCAATTTAGTTCACATTACTCGTGAACGTTTAGTTCACGGGCATAATGAAATAGTCTTTTTGTTATGTTTTTTCATCAAATATTTTTAGTGGAACTGTATATATACATCGTAGTTATTTAATCGAATTGTTTACTCTTAAAATAAATACTTGTTTTGAAAATTTTCTTAAAACTAGTTTAAGAAATATAATGAAATAATGCGAATAAAAAAATTAAAAGTTAAATTTTTTTTTTGATTTCTTAAAAAGAAAAATTTATGTGGATAAATATGAAGCTGTTGTACAGATTTTTACTTATTCTTATTTAACAAGTTTCCGCTTGTATTAAAATTAAAACCTGGAACATGGATCGGTCCCAGTGGGCACGGAAGTAAAAAAGACGTCTTTTAAACGTTTAAAATACGTCCAAAACGTTCAAAAGACGTTCAGAAAACGTCTAAAACGTGTAAAAGACGTTTAAAAGACGTCTTTTTTTACTTCCGTGCCCACTGGGGTATAACACAATCACTTCACAAACAGATTGGTCATTTTTGGGAGCTAATTTTGAATAATAAGGAAAGTGGTTTAGTAAATCTTTATGATTCAGGGTTCGAAGGTAATAACAAAATATTAGGATTGAAACCTACTAGATTCTCAAGAAAAAACACTTAAACTGTCAGTTTCAAATTTCATTAACCAAATGTTGAAATTATGTAATTAAGTTTTTTTTGACAAGAGATACAAGTCAAAACTATTTTTGAAATTTTGTTATGAAAAAGGACATTCTGATTGTTATTTTCTTTAAAAAATGTCTGAAATAACATTTTATCTGAAGATAAAAAATATTTTGAAAAGTTATGAACAAATTACGCATATTAGTACCTCATTTGATAATATTTATTGTATTTGTTAATAATGTACCTATGTTATCTTTGTATTACAAATATTCGTACATGTTTATTAATATTTGTACGTATTTTTTGTTATAACCGAAAAAAAAGCAAATTTTTTATACTTTGTTCTTTAAAACTATGATCTAAACATCTTGCAGCAAAGTTATTTTTCAGTTTTTCCAAAATATACACATTTCCAAATTTTACAACTATTCCAAAAAATCTTTAATCAACCTTATAGCACTTTCCATTCACAAGTTATGGATCAATCTTCGTAAAAACAGGTGTTTGACCAACTGTGCGAATATCTGGTAGACCAAAGGGCTCCTTATATGGGATGACAAAAACAGTTGGATAGAAACAGACGTTTTCAGTGAATACTTAACCATCTTGTTTGATGGTTGAAAGACACTTGCAAGTCAGTTTTGTTCTTTGATGGTCATATAAGTCGTATTTCTTTAGAAACTGTTAAAAACGCA